AGAATTAAAAATCGTGATACGGACGTACCCGATGTACACGCAATCTAAATATAACAGCATAATAAGGCGCTGTTATTTCAGTTATTTGATTAATTTCTACCACCCAAGAACATATTCAGAATTAAAAATTGATCTACAATCCGGAGAATTTGATTTTAATTAGATTTTATCCTCAATTATTCTAATCAAATTTGGATAACACAATTACTATGCCATAATCGAATTTGAGCTCGCCACGAGGGGGTTACACGAAGATTTCAGAGTTAAAAATTAATTAGATTTTCAGTCCCGCACACCATGGAATTAAATATTCATAATCCGACGGAGATAGTCGCGGATCAATGTCAAATGATCGATCACGTCGCAACTAGCGAGTATCGGCATCGCGGCATGTCGAGGTGCACGACATTTCCGGCGATCGAGTCAGCGTTCGGTGATCGATACGGACGCTTGATTTCCTATAGATGTTGAATGATAGGACAGGAAAGGAACTCCCCGCATCGTCGCGCCCGTCTCGTCGTCGCATATCGCGGAGAGCTAATTGGACCGCGGATGTATCTAATCGAACCTAATGCGAGAGCAACCGAGACCATATCTCGGGCTCTGGTAACGGGCCATGAATTATCGATAAGCCACAAACGTTCCCGCGCCTTCCCCACCTCGCAACGAAGTCGCACGTGGAGAACGGCGATGCATAGCCCGCGAAGACAACACGGTCACCGTTCCGATAGCGGAGACATGACTCTTCGAGTACGTGACAGATAGAGACATGCGGTAGGTCGAGTCTAATTAACCCTGTCAAGAGCCAGCTGCAAAATGTACAACTGTTTGAACATGGTCAGAGAGAGTCATATAAACCGTATACACCGTAAACCGTGCAGCTTTGAGAAATAAAAAAGCATGGCATAAGCACGTCTGATGTAGAATCTCGCAGTGCTGCTTTTATGAAAAGTTTTACTTTAATGTAGATAAAAGAAGAAAGTCTTGATGTGTAAAGAACATGTATTTTCTCAAAATATTTTTTTCCTATTTATTAATACTTTGTACAATCGCGCATCTGTAATTTGTTGCTTTGTAACTACAATCTTGATATTGAATTGTTGAAGACGTGTACGTATCTCAGGGGCTACTGTAACCATTCTCGACTCGAAAAATTGAATTCCGCGTTATCTTCGGAAATTCCATTACTCCGCCCAATACAATCAAGCGTTGATTGTCTCGGGTGCGCACGAAATACACGTGCACATACACAATTGTAAGTAAGCCCTAACTTCGAGTGGGATCCGAGTCTAGATCCGTCGCTACAGGACAATATCACGTCCCGATACAAAAATCCTCCATTAGCAAAGCAAATACCTTACCGCATTCTTTCTGTCCGCAGACACGACCGAACGGCGAACAAAGATGGATAAGATTGAAGGACCTCGCCTTGCAGAGCTCCGGCCAATACAAATGCGAAGTCTCCACCGAGGCGCCGTCTTTCGCCACCACTTATCAGACGGCCAATCTAACGGTGATATGTAAGCATCTATTTCTTTCTTAATTATATACCTATATTCTTAATTATCATGTTATGTACCGGAAAGATATCGTGTCGTTGCCAATGTAGAACACAGAATTAAATCAATTACTGTTAGATTTTATTCGGCGAAACGCGAGTTTCAGTTTGTTTTTCATATATTTGCGTTATTTAAATATATCCATTATACTAAATTATGTAAATCTTGTAAATCGATTAAAAGTAGCTCACGAAATTACTTTTAATGGATTTAATCCTTCCTTAATTAACTTTTGTGATAAATCGGTAATTATATGGTAATATATATATTCTCCTGTTATGTTACACATAAAATTCTACAGCATCTCATTAATTCATGAAAGCCCAATAGAGACTCCTACCTGCCTGTTTGAGTTACCGCCAACAATATCTGCCATTATGGAATATTTATGTATACCTGCGCGCGATAAACTATTTCGGTAACACCCGCGTGTGTGGCGTGCTGTTTTATTGTAAAATAGTTGTCCGCCGGTTTTGCACCGCCAACCATTCCGCACATCCTTGCGCCATTAATTCGTGTCTTGGATGCTCTCCCACTCAAATATACTTTTTAATTACACGCGCATTCGGCCGTATTGTTGTTTTATGCATATATATAATAATATTAAACGAGATACATTCAATTACAATATTTTTCGATATTTTTTAATATTGCAATTGTGTCATCACATTTTCTTTTAATAAAAACTTGATCACATTGTTATTATAATTCTCTGTTTGCAATAAAAGCTATATCTGCGGATTATGTCTTATGTCAAATATTAAATTTTCCTCGAATTAATCTATATTAATATTAATGAGTACGCAGTGGTTAGCATACAGCTTATCATGAAAGATCATTTTTTAAAGTATTATTTAGATATCAATTATGAATATAGGTTTAAAAAATTTAATGCAATTTATTAAAAAAAAAAAAAAAATATGCCATTAATTCGTGTATCTTTTTGCACGATTATATTTTAATAATTTGAACATTAATAGGCAATTAAGTGATAAAAGCCGCGCGTGGCCAGCCGAACATTTTACGATAATATAATACACTTACGCTGATTTCGTTCGCGTTTCCGCCGCTCTCGGCCGCCATTAAAACTGTATGTTTCAATTAATCGTTTAATTATGTGCATTATAATTCATACACGAATCACGTAAAATACGCGACCGCCTGCGCCTATCAAGTTTCCCCTCGTTGAAATGGCATTGGGCGACACTAATTTGCCCGATTCAGCAACGCGAATGAAATCGCCAACAAATAAATCGGCACAATGCTCGATTTTGTCGGGCCACGGAAGGGAAACAGCATTATCGCCGGTGGCATCGTTATCGTACCGCGAATCAATCAACGCCGAAATTTATCTTCGCCAAACGCCTCCGTTCGCGGTCCGCGAGATCGATTAAATGGTCGCCATACGAACGTGTCCCTTTTTCTTTTTCACCGGCAACGTGAAAGCCGGTTTCGGAACGACAGGTACCGATGAATAGGCTCCCGCGAAAAAATAACGCGTCCGCAATTCTGGCTATCGCTCGCGGCTTTCGATTCTTGACCGGGGCTACGTAAATCTCCCGCGAGTGACGAGACATGTCCAGGATAAAACACTGTATACCTATCGAGCAGACGAAACTGCCATATCATGGATTGGACGGTGAGGTTGTAAATCTGCAAAACAGTGAATGCTCGAGAGCGACTTCGGAAATAACTCTATTCTTCATTTAAACATTGAGTTCCGATACTTCATTGTCACTTGCGTTAATTTAAATTTATGTCTTTTAAGGACTTTCTTTTATTTATTAAGGATTATATCAGGAATTCAACGAATTATCTACAACTTAAAGTAACGAAAAAAATGCATAATCGAACAATATTATATGATACAGTTAAGCAAATTATCATTTTAAGTAAACGTTTTTAAAAAAAAAATATGTACGACTATTTGATCTGTTTAATAGATGTACAGCGTTTTAGAACGATATGAAAGAGGGAGAGAAAGGGAAAAGAGGAAACGGAAACTGGCCGGAGAGGAAAAAGAGGAACGCGTAACTGCGAAGAGAACGGGCTTCCAGTTGCGAGCCCTGTCGACTATACGAAATTTGTTTCTGTCCGTGGCAAAGGTGCCACAGGAACTCCTTCTCCACACACAAAAAATTTACATCGTTTATCACGGATGCATCATCAGAAAAAAAAGTAGAAAAAACCGAATTCACTTGTCCCGTTGAATATTTTCGCGAGAGCGAGCCTATCTCGGCTTTCGATTCGCTCGAGTTTGAACTTGCTGGCGTAAATGTCGAGGTGTTACGATCGTGCCGGTCGAATGCAGATTTTGTACATCCCGTGACTGCCGTTCAATTGTTTTCTCGTGAGCGTTGTTTCACGTCATACTCGAAGTGAAATTGATCGAGTCCATTGGCGACGTCTAAATGGAACGGAATAAAATCTTTTTTATGTAAGGCTCGTTTTTGTTTAACCGATGTATATCGATGTGCGTCAATTTTTTTCGAAACTACAACTCGTTGCGATGTATAAAATAGTTACGTAAATACGGCCTGTAACGAGAAAAAAGTTTTCGTAAACACGATGGCGGTTCGTGTTGATCGATACGGGAGGAAAATTACGGAATCGCGACGTTTGCATAAAGTAATTGAAACGGCGCGAGCTCGCAGACTGCTACCGAAACACAATGAAAAAATTCAAGGGAGCCCTCGGAACGTTTTCCGCGTACCATTCCGCGTCGGATTAGTTTTGCGATGAATGAAAGACACGTAATTTGTAAATGGCCTTTGTGTCGGCGCGATATTAAAAAAGCAACGCGTGCAGCAAAAATATTATTCGGAGATGAATTCCGCGAATATTGCGCGAGATCTTATGGAGAAATACAGAAAATTGTGCGTTGGAGCAATTATTACATCTGCCAGCTGCTGCCGGCGTGGAAATTGTTTTTTATTAATTCGGAAAAATGCGAGAGATATATCGTCACGCGTCCGGTAATAGAGATTTCACGTTGTTGTTAATGTTAAGTACTTGGCTGAATTATTTAAGACAAGAAGAGTCAAATGCACGCTTCATCTCGTCGACAATTTGCGAATAAGAATTTAATATCACTTATACGCAGAGCATTTACTTTGGTAAATTTTTACCAAGGCAAACGAACATAATTTATGCAGTTGCGAAAAGCGCGATTCTCGTGGAAGCGGCGCTTTATACCCTTTGGGGCCGCTGATATTTCTCATAATGAAGAGTACATATATAACTACCGTATACGCGTATTTGAACAACATATAAAAGAGGGGCATCCAGAAAAAATGTATAAAACGGTTGGAAATGCATATATTCTCATGAACGCCAGCAGCTTAATGAAGCGTCTTTCTGTGTCTGGTTTACTAGTGATTCTTCACATTTCTGCGGTCATAAAAAGTCATCCAAATGGAAACATTGCGAGCAAATGCTCCTTTCAGCGCGTCTATTGTATTAGACACTGAACAGCGAACAGCTACTCGCGCTTTACTGTTATAGCAGCTATTAATTTCACTCTAATTAATAATATACCTAAAAGCGAGCAATATTAAATTAAGAAACAAGAAACTAGACAGTTGAGAAATTAAGCAAATACAAGTTACTTCTTTATGTATATCCGAGATATTAAATTAAACTTTAACATTATAAAATTATTGAAGATTAACCTATATATCTATGTCTATATACCGAAGAGGTCAAAATAAAAAAAAAGAGAAAAAAAATTTATGAAATTAATTACCTGTATATTTCATTAAAAGTCAGAGAAAAATTCAGAAATTGTGATGTTTGAAAAATGAATAATAATTAAAATTATTTAAAATAATGTTAAACAAGTTATTTTGACTCCCTTGGTAGTTTTAGTTAAATTAAACAAAATCGTGAAATGCTCCGTTGTATTCGGTTATCCAATTTTAACACGATTAATTTTTTAATTTTAATAATGCATATGAAATGCGCAATGCATATAACACAATTTTCATCGCGCATATTACAAGGCGCTATCTTGGCCATGTAATTTGAAAAATCTCGTTAGGATATCGCGATGTGAAAGTATTGCAGATGTAGAAACAGAAATACCTAATCTGGAAAGCATACCCAGGCAAGATGGCGTTTTCTCGAGAAGATACAAACTCTTGGATTATACATGAGAGACGTCGTCGAGGATTTGGTCTCCTCTCGATCGTTCGTCCTCCGCGACACCCTGCCAACTCTTTCGCGTCCCCTCGATAACATAAGTCAACCGACAAAAGGAGCAAGTCGGATAAAACCGGGGCTCCTTTCACTTCAAAACGCTTAAATTCATTTATTAATGTCAAAACGCACTGTTTTTCTTATCAATAACACTTTTCATTATAATCTTCATAATCCAGATATATCAATATTTTGCAACTCTCATAAATTTGCAAAATGGAAGTTTTTTTTACGTTGAAATAATATGTAATTTATTGAGATTAAAAGATTTTATCTTTAATATATAAGGAGACGAATTAGCATAAATTATTGTCGCGAAATTCATTATTCAAAAAGACAATTTATGATAAATTATTACCGCGTGCTTATTGATTATCGGTGGCACCTAATTAGCGATATATTTCAGTAGCATGTACAGTAATAATGTCAGCCACGCATAATACAGTCGATCGATAGCTCGCAGACAATGTCGGAAGTAGATCATTTTCGTTATAGGTAGAACAATTTCCCATTATGTTGCAATTCAGCACATCAGGCTATTCTAATATTATACGTAATTATAATTCCATGTGTGCATTAAATATCTCAATCTTTTACTCTCATATAGAATCCCAATTATTAGAATTAATTGGAAGGTAATAATGTTAAGAGGAAGATAAAATAGGAAGATATAATAATCTATCTTCTCCCTTTTAATTTTTTCAACGATTTTTCTTTTCTACTATTTTTCTTTTAACCTTTTAATCTTTCCAACTATTTTTCTACCGTTCGCATGTCTCTCTCTGTCCAAGTATTTTCTTAAACAATACTCGGACGATTAAATCTTCAGTTAAATAACGTACAGATAATCGGGCAGCTTTTGTAATCGTGCTAAATTTCGATTCGCGTTCGAACTCACGGCTCACTGTCGAGACGATCAACAACGCTCGAAGAAGCAATTAATGTTCGTTTTTATTCCACGCGACGTCCGGATGTTATTAAATCTTCACGTGATAAACCGGTGGTTTTAACGAAAGATTTAACGGAAAACACAAGACGAAAATATCGAAAGCACCCGATTTGCGCCATTTGTGGAATGGCGTTGAGTTTAATTCTGGCAAAGCGCATTATTCTGATGCAACAAATGCAGGCGTTACGCACGACGAGCTACGAGCACCTCGTTGCACTCGCGAATTGATTACGGATACCTACTCGATTGGTGGAGGATGTGCCCTAATGAAAATCAGCCTCGAAAAGGCGGGTGCGGAGGGGCAACGGGGGAAAATGGGGAAACGACCCCGTGCTCGTGCGCACGCGGATTGATCATTTGTGGCCGACGCGTGATTGCTTAATTAAAGCGGATAGTACTTCCGCGAGTACACTGCGCGCAATACTGCGCGCGATTTCGTTTCGATAAATGCCAATTTAACCCTCTCCATAATTCGAGCCAGCTGCCCATCGTCGGAAAAAGTTATTTGCGGCGTGACGGAGTGACGAGTTAATCGCTATCTGTATATCAATAAAAAATTGGTTGACCATTGTTTTCGAATTAAAAGATTAACGTCACGCGTCAGTCTTGCGTTTTTACATCGCAAAGAATTTACATTGATTGTTTGCCGAACTGCTCATCCAACTTAACAGCGTAATGAATGAAAGCATAATAATAATAATATCCGTTTATCAATGGTCTTTTAACCATAAATTGACAAATGCATTTAGTTCATGCGTAATTTTCTTACTTTTTCCATCAAATTTGACATTACATTATAATAAAAATTTTTTCTCATGGCACATTGTTATAACAGCACAGCTGTTGTGTCAACAGCATGTATAATAATGATAAAACTGATGATGATATAATTATTATAACTTTGATAAAAGCGAAATGGTATAGAAGAGAGGCGCGAACGAATGTTCACACGTTTTGCGAACAGAAACGGAGAGAAAAGAAGAATCTTCGGTTAAAGTGCATCGCTTATTTAGCTGGATGCCCTCATGACCCAGCTACTACTTGGTAATTCTCTCGAACAAGTTAATTTGTACGACCTATACTCGTTCCCTTTTCCTGCTCAAACAGGGCATTGTCATTTCCGCGTATACACGGTATTCTCACACCTCTACTACTCTTGGCTGAATATTAAATTGCGAAGCAACTTCCGGTGGACCTTATTAAACCGTGCCGTCGCCGGTCCACGTGGCAGGTATAACCGTCGCACGAAATCCCCGAGTTCGTGGTTCGTGTATCTAATTAAGCGTATCGTGCAATAAGCGCCGAATTCCGAAGTGAGAAAACACGACTTCCGAAAATTGGAAGTAACGAACCGGTATAGGGATTTACCCTATTTACCAGATATGCCATAAAGAAAATGCAGCGCGCGATTAGCGATATTCGCGAGCAAGATGAGATCACTGCTTCTGTTATTTCCATTCTTTAATTAATTCGATATTAATCTTGTTTGAAATTCATGTCCTGCAATGGATTGCATTTTTTTATTACTATTATTAAATTATTGGATCATTGCTATGTGATTTATTGTGGACCACACCTCTCTCAACGCAAATGCTCGCTCGCTTGCCCCATTACAGCAGCTCGAAATTTTATAAGTAAACCACGCCGATAAGTTCGCCCCAGAACTCGCGTGAAAACGTTCGTGCTAACTTACGCACACACACATATAACTGAATGTTCTCCCTGAAGAAAAAGGGAAAAGTGTGGCAGGGGAGCACGTACCGCGTGTGCATGCCAAACCGTAGAATCTACCATTTACCTGCGTGCGATGCGGCTTCCGGGCTTTTCGCGTAGCACGTTAGGAGCCACGTAGGAACTCCGGGTCGGGCGGATTTATTTAACGAGAGTATAAATGCGGATACGCTACAACGCCGCGTTCTTTCGCCGCTTTATCCGCCGCGTATCACCGCGATAAATTAGACCGGCGTGCGCCATTAATTAGCTTTACGCGCCGGAAAATATTTCCCCGGCTGCGCCTTCTCGCTGTCTCGAGTGGCTCCAGTATTTCCTCTTCCAGAGGAGAATATTTAAATCCCCATGATAAACAGGAATTGTACGCGATACGCAGAGATTAAGAACTGAATTAATTCAGCAAAAGGCACTAGTTAGCTGTGGAGTTACACCAGCTCTGTTTGCGTAACTAATAACCGAACGATATATTATATTGTTACCGAAAGTACATGCTACGCAAACCACAGGCAATAACGAAAACGCAATGTACGACATCGTAATGAGATTCTAATACTGTTCAGCTTTTGCGAATGGCTTCGTATAATTTGATAATCGATATGTGATATTGATTCGTAGCGTAACGTGCAATCATTACGTCATTATCACCGCATTATTAGATGAGATCAGTTAACGATATTGCATCGATATTAGGTTTATGCAACTTGTAATTATCCCCGGACTTATGCCATTAAGTTAATGGAGTTGGAGTTGTTAAGACGGATAATGCAGATATTCCGAACAACATGGTATAATTAAACCACTTACACTTCAATAAATCAGTGAAATTATTCGTTCTCTCGAAGTCTTGTCAAAAGAGACATGCAATGAAGCTGAATGCTATTAATATCTATAACTTTTTATTATATACATATACAGGGTGAATTTTAATGGATGTCCCATCCTTTTACCATCAATACTTCATCGAGCATCCTTTTTTTGATAAAGAGCACTTCTTATATAGAATAATTGTTAAACTTTACGTCTTCGTTACAAAATGGAAAATTTTTTTATATATATAGAAAGAAAATTGAGACAAATTGGCAGATGACAATTGTGAATGGGACATCCATTAAAATTCACCCTGTATACGTGTGCTTTTATATATAGTTAATAAATATAGTTAATAATATAGTTAATATAGTTAATAAATTCAAATTTGAGAGTGTGCATTTCAGCCATACGTTTCGCAATTAATGGGTATACTTTTGGATTCCTGACTGTTTCAGTGGTCAGAGTTTCACCCTCCAAAAATTCATAGGCAAATCCATTGTTAAATGTAGCATAAATGCAATGAGTATAGCCAGCCTTGTTCAATATCTATACAAAAATATTTATTCCATATTAATATATTAGTTACTGTTTACACGTTAAAATGTTTGCCATATTCGCTATATATTATATTTCTCCGTGTGCATCTTTTAATAATATCTATGCACGTTAGTAAAATAAATACATATAAATTACAGTAGCTAAACAACGTATTAATTGAAATGTGAATGAGACGACGACATTTATAATAACGTTGCAAAACCGTTAAGATCTTTACCCGGATATTATTTATTTCGCTTTTTCGGTCGATCAGTAACGCTGAATTGTTGCCATAAATTCTAATCAGGACCATATCTGTATAATGTCCCGAGTACCATACTCCTACCAACTTATTTGTTCTTCCATCAGTGAATATCTAAAATAAAAGAAACAAAGATATTCTCATAGAGTTCTTTCGGACTGGTTTTCGGGGACATACCGTCGGGGGGTAATCACAATAACACTATTTCTACCTTATTGGATAGAAACTTGTGTATTATTTATGTCAATGTTTAAAACTGTATGGATATAAGAAAAGCCAAGACATCTACGTCTACATATCTATATTCCTTATTACTTGATAACAAAATTGATAAAACCGATTCTTTCAAGTATCAATATTAATCGCCCGCAAGAAGTGAGTACATCGAATATATAATGATTAATGAAAGAGGCATTGAAACTGTACTGCATATCAATGTAAGTAAAGGTAAACAAAAGTTATCAGCAGATAAATTAGACAAATTGATGAGACAAGCGCTATAGAGTCTCAGATGACCTATTTTTTAAACTTTAAACGCTAAAAGAATAAAAGATGTACGATTTGATTTTGAATCCGTGTATTACCTTGAAATGCAGTTGTTGTAAAGGCCAGGACGGTCTAATTTTCTTTATAATATCTTTCGCACCAACAATAATTTCATTTTCATCTATCGTAATGTCAAGATGTTCCTCACATATATTCATAGCTCAATGCTATTTTATGGAACGATAAAAGAGTTTCTTATTTAAAGATTACTTGAATTAAATTATATCACGGATCTGTTGGCACGTTCGTTCTACGTATAGGTCCAATATTTACGGATGTCCCACGGCAACTCTGACAACCGACGGAGCATTGGGCAACTGAATGAACTGAAACTGAAGAAGCAGATCCGATATATATCCATATAATCTATATATATATATATATATATATACACATGTATATGCTCCCCTCGTATACAGATATGTATATAAGCGATAATATTCTGATAAGCGAGGGTAGCAGTAGCATATAGTCAATTGGAGAGAATTGCGAAATCCGAACGCGATGTGCATATATCGATTAATAAAGCAATTCCGCTTATCAGTAATTGTAGATTGTAGTTTACTTACATACATAAATCTTTTACATATTCGTGTATGTACCTATATCGATAGATAAATGTATAAGACAGGTGATTTCGTTTTGTTTGTTAAACTGTTTTGGAAACTGTTCTCGTTCTCAGTGGTGTAGTAAATGCAGAAATTTTTAAATCGTAAGTACGCTGGTCCTAATATACTTGTGTTTTTCTTGAAGATTAAGGTGCCTTCAACAACCGTGCTATGCTATTACCTATATCATATAATTTACCTACATCACGATTGTGAGGTTATGGTTATACCAACATAATTGTTATGCTAGCCCTAGAATCCATGACTCATTTTTTTGACCTTCTAATCCATGACTGGGGGCAATATCGACCCCACGCTTTATTTGATCGTAAAACCGGTCCTACAGAAATAAAGGGCCTTTAAACCTACATGAATTTCTTCGTTTTTTAATAACGAAGAGAATGGTATACGGTAAATTTAATTTTACTCAAGTTTAGTTAGTGAAAAATCCATTTAAAGACTGAAAAACGCAGAAAATCAGCAAAAACCTCTTTTTTTAAACAAAAATTTGTATCTTTTTTTGTAATCAACCGATTTTAAAAATTCAAACGGGGTTTTAAAGAGGACACATTAGACTATTAGAAAAAAATTGTCATCGCTATGTTCTGTTCAAAAAGTATATTTATTTGGGACTATAAAGATGAAGAAATTCGCAAAGTTGAAATACGGAAAAAGTCGATGAAAAAACCATAAAAAATTGTATTTTAAGTATTATTTCATTTTTATTTGATACAAAATAGTAAAAAATATGAAAAAAATGAAACATTATATCGCCCAGCCATTTTCTGCGAAATGTCAATCTTCTATAGGCAACGGGATTTTTACCGACTAAATTGTGTGATATTTCGTCTTAAATAATATTTATGACTATTTATGCTCAGATTACGTAATAATACATGATATATATTGATTCTAGCAAAAAAATAAAATTAGCTTACCGTGACGAAACTCAAACGGCAAGTCACGACTGGGGTCGATATCGACCCCACGCCCGCTTTGCGACTGTGCTACTTCACTGCTAGCGAACAACTAACGCTGCGCCCGACATAACCCTACTTTTAGAAAGTTGAAATGAATTATGGTTCAGGTCCTGAGTCGATAATGTCACTCGCTAGCTCAGGAGCGTAGTTCAAAGTTCGCCTGGGGTCGAAATCGACCCCAGTCATGGATTCTAGGGCTAGGGGTGCATTCGGGGAGACGCTATTAACGCTATAAACGCAAACGCTATGAACTTCGTTCGAAGAGCCAATAGCGCGACAGCGATAGCAAGCTCCCCGAACGCAGCTTAAGCGCCAATAGTATTTCGTGCCTCACCTCGAAAATAATAGCGAAAATAGCGCGAGTGATGACGTCACGCTGCCTTTACAGTGACGTCATCATCGTATATCACAGCGCCACAAAGCGTCTCCTCGAACAGTTTTGGACGATAATTGTGCTAATAGCGTGCTCCCCGAATGCACCCCAAGTCTACAATGGCCGTGTTCAGCAGACATAACTGTTGAGTTCGTCTTATCAACACTCTGCGTTGATTGGTTGGTTCTAAAAGTAAGAGCCAATGACGTTGGACCGCTACTGAGCAGCTTGGTCTGCTGAACGCGACCAATGCGAGTCGTAAAGTCGTGAGTCGTAAGAATTGACCAATCACAATGGAATTTGAAGAAAATAATCGACTGTGCGTGGTCAGTTCTTAAGGTAAAATTTCATGAGCAGTGAAAAGCAGCAGCAGATTGTACTGATTGGCTACAAAATAGAGAAGTTGTAGAAACTCGAGAACTTCTCTATTTTGCAGCCAATCAGTACGATCTGCTGCAGCTTTTCACTGCTCATGAAATTTCACCTTTAAGCGGGGAGCACACACTTCTGCATAACGCATAATGAGAAATTGATGTCAGATACCTCCATCTTGCCGCGGTACAGTTTGAATTTGGCGTTATGTCAGTGTCAGAGCCTCCGCACAAGACTTTCGTGTGGTAACGTAGTGTAACGAAACGTGGGTCAACGCACAAGAAACGTATCGGTTACGGCGTTATACGTCAATACGTTTCTTGTGCGTTGATCTACGTTACGTTACCATAGGAAAGTTTTGTGCGGAGGCTTTAACCGATACGTTTCTTGTGCGTTGATCCACGTTAAGTTACGCTACGATACTAAAAATGTACTCTTAAACGTATACTCAGAATTCGGAAGAATACTAACAGGACAATGATATCTTTGTTGAAAAAAGACAAAATATTTGAGATCTAAATGTCGTTTATATTCCTTATATTTCAAATAAAGTGCTTTAAATAATAAAATAAATGTTGTATTTATATTTCTGCAATTTCGTCATTTGAAACAGTTATATATATATGCAATCATATAATTATATTCGTGTTTATATATCTTTAAATATATATTTACTGTGCAGGACATACATATATAGGTAAATACAGTTTATTTGTTATATACATTTGTTAAAGTATAATATTAATATACTGTATGAAATAATACGTACTCCGGAGATATATACATATATCATCACTAGGCCGAGCCCGCGCTTTTGAAAGTCACATGACATGCAACATCGTTTCTCGACATTTCCTACCCCGGCCGTTCACGTAAACACTATGACTGTAAACACTATGACTTGTATGTAAGCCGCGACCGATTTGCCCGCAATTTGAATTCTTGGTTATTTAGTTACACGTTACACTCGTTGAAAGGTCGAGAAAAGTAGAGAAAGTTTAGAGTGTTCGAGCAGCACGGAAGAACGTTACGAAGAGGAATAAGCTATCCGACAGGTAAAGAATTTACATTTTGTTTCGTAGACGGTCTGAACGAAGATTCAACAATATAACAAAGGCTGTTAAAAATGATGTGAGATACGTTAGTAATAATCGCGCGGGAAAAGAAACCACACGAGAGCACACGAGGTCATCAATATAATTCAAGAAATGAACAGAACTCTAGATGCATTAAAAACTGAAAAGCAAATCGTTAATACTCGGTTGACGGTACTATTTTTTTACGTAAGAAAAAATGTCGATCGAATGAGATTCATCTTCACGCATAAATTTATCGCGCGTTCCAGGTTATTTCGCTCGCCTTTCTCAGACTCTTTCGTCGAGGAAGTTGAATTCCCGACGCAAAAAAGGGAGGAAATGTAAAGTGTCCCCGACTATTGCAGCATATAGCGTACATAATTTGCATCTCTTTCTTTTGCGTTAAGACGAAATCAAATAGTTGCATACTGCGTCATAAATTGTCTGGATAGTTCCACATTATTTTGTCTAATATGCACAAACAGCTTCTGGAGATTCTGAGAACAAACACTAAATAATTACTTAAATGATTGACTTCTTCTGTTTTGTTTTCCAATGTTCTACAAAAGTCAACTTTCTGATATAGAAATTATTACAACGATTGATTACAATTTACATGCAGATTACACACTTGAAATTGCATTTTTATTATTAAACTGTGTGTTTATTCTTTATCCATTATACATTATATTAGGCCTGTTTGTTTTACAAGCTGAACTTCTTGTACAGTTCATCTTTTCTATTTTTCTTTCCAATGTGAAAAGAAAAAGAGGAAAGATGAACTGTGCAAGAAGTTCAGCTAAAACGAACAGGCCTATATTGCCTCATGCATATTATATAATTATTTAACAATAATTTCATCTTTTAATGCTTTTTGCATTTAAGATAATACATATATAAATAAAAGACACAATATGAAATTTCAGAGTCTTTCTATGTTAAAACATGTAATGTAACATCATATAATTTGGGTTGTACAGTTATTCCACCATGATAAAGTCATCAGTTATGAGTGCAAAGGAATGGAACGAGAATGGTAATGAAGAGTTTGAAAAAGGCAATTGGTCTGAAGCATTAAGTCACTACACAAACGCACTGAATGTAGAAGAGAACGATCATGACAAAAGAATGTACTACAGAAATCGAATTGCTACTTATTTAAAGCTGAGCAATTACGAGAAAGTGGTTGAAGACTGCGACAATGCATTAAAGACATGTTGTAACCACGCATTGTATCACAGATGTTTAGCACTAGAAGCGTTAGAAAGATTCGAGGAGGCATATCGGGATGCGAAGATCATTATTTCATCTGACCCCAACAACAAAGTTATTCAGCCCGTAGTGACAAGGTTACGTGAAATTGTACAAGAACGTCGTAATAAAAATATAAAAATTAGTGCCAAGGTAAATATACGTAACTGTTACAAAAGTTATTCGTCAACTCGCAAAACATGATAATTTAATTTAGATAAGATAATAAAAATGCAATACATTTTTCATCCTGGATCTAAGTATTAGTAAGGGTTTTTATTTCAATATCACACATAATTTGACAAATGGATTTGAGTTTTTGTTTTTTAATATATAATTATTAATTCTTGTTCATTAATAGTTTGCACGGTCTGCACACTACGGGTAAAATTTACATCATACAAATATAATCTCATAGTTATTTAAATTTTTATTGCAGATCATTATATTTAAGTATACGCTTAATTTTGCTTTGTATTATAGGTATTAGAAATGCTGGATCTAGCATTTGAAGGGAACGCAAGTGAGAGTGAAATCGCTATAAATAATTTGTTTATGCTTGCATGTGACGAAGTTGGTGCCGACGAGATCTTCAAGAAGGAAGGTGTGTCGAAAATCGCACAACTTGTGAAAGTAAAAACGAACGATGAAATAATCTGTGGCGCGATTCGTATTGTAAGCGAGTTATGCAAAAACAATATTAGTCGAACCGAGTCCGTTATGAAATGCGTCGGTTTGCCTTGGTGTCTGGAAATAATGAACAGTACATCTTTAGAGAGAGTTAACGCGTCTCAATGTTGTTTACAGGTGAATATCGAGTAATATACATGTAGTTATTTTACATATTTTACGTATTTCAGTAATTAAAAATTTATTGCATATTTTGATTTTAGAATATATTGAACACTTACATCATCGACATAAATAATAAACCCGATTCAAATTTCAACAAGGATTTGTACGAGGCGCAAAAAAAAGTAGACACAATTATGTTGTACTTGTTGAACAGCATAACGAGTAGAACGATAACTGGCCCTGCTAGAGACGCAGTAATAAAACTTATTACGCATAACATTCGTTGCGTACCTATGTTAGACTGGGCCAAACGATTTGTCGAACTTCGCGGTGTGCAAAGATTGATGGAGGTAGCCAGTGAAAGGGAGCTATACAATAAATACAAATCCTCGATGGACATCACATCCTCCACGCAAACTATAACTAGTGTGTGTTTAGCAAAAATATATGAAAATGTGTACTATGATGATGAGAAAACATTTATCAACGCCATTGATGAATTTATTGCAAATAAACCGATTTCGCCTGACAAAGAATCTAAAGTATGAATTTTGCAACTTTCGATCTTTTCTTGTCATTTAAAATTTTAAATTGTTTGAAAATAAAAGGCCGAGTCTTTTTAACTATAGCCGATTTGAGCAATTTAAACTCTATTTTTAAAACAAAAATGTTAAAGAAGACTTTTCAGTTCTTTTTCAGTATTGTATATATTCTGTAAGTTTTAAATTAAAATACGGTTATAACAGAGCAATCGAAATTTATTGAAGAATATGACTTTATCATCTAGTATTTTCTGAAACGTAATTTATCAGAAATGTCTATTTTCTATCAAAATTAAATAACACTGTAGCTTCCTTAATTTTCAATCAATATTATTGTTTGTCGAAACGTAAAAATTAATGAATTGTTAATCGATTATTTTACAGATGCGTGTAGTAGTTGCGATAACTACCTTATTATTGGGTCCATCAGATGTTGGAAACGCAATTGTGGCTAAAGAAGAGATTTTGGGGATGATCCTCGGTATGACGGAAACGGCATTACGTTTCAATGATATATTGCAGCAAAAAGTGATTCTCGAATGTATCATTGCCGCTGTGACCAGAAAAGACAAAGTCCGCGCGATCATAAACCGAGGTGTTAATATATTGAAAAAACTGTGTCAATCCAAAGATAATTCAATTCGAGTTCGAGCGTTAGTGGCTTTTTGCAAGTTGGGTAATTCCGGAGACTCAGACGCGACTATCAGACCGTTCGCGGATGGAGTGAGTAAGGAATTAATTGAGGCTTGCATAGATTTTTCATTTGTTTCGCCAAAGAAAGAAAATATAGAGTTGGCCGTAAAAGGTCTGTCGTATCTGACTTTCAATACGAAAGTCAAAGAGGAGATGGTCGATGATCTAACTTACATTGATTACATACTCCAGTTGACCGAGGAGATCGAGACTGGTGATCAATTTCTCTTCGACGTGCTTACGATTTTGGTGAACTTATGCAACGCTTATGACGAGCAAGAACCCGAGATATCAAAGTTTGTCAAATATCATTTTCCCGAGGAATCTGAATTGGACGACGACTACTTCGAAGAAAGATTGGGCGACTTAATAAATGAGAATGTGATTAGTTGTCTGGTTGACTTCGCCAAAACGGACAATCAGAACTGCAAGGAACTGATAGCGCGCGTTTTTAACGCGATATGCAATCAACAGAAATTGAGAGAAATAGTTGTTGATGAAGGCGGCACGGAGGCATTGTTGTCGTTAGCGCTGGATGGCACAGTCGAGGCAAAGAAACAAGCTTCGCTAGCTTTGGTCCGTTTGGATCTCACGAAACATGAGGTTCTATTGCCCGGTCAACTATTGACGAAGGTTGTTAAACGGTTAAACCGATTGTAAATCTTATGAACCTGGAGTGTTCCGTTAAGGAGAATTGCCAGACTCTAACAGCTTTGTGAGTGGTCAATCGCTGTGGTCAAACGGGACGCTCTTTTCTGCTTACCAGCGCAAGTCTAAATCTAAAACTAAAATCTAAAACTCTTTATTGTCAAATCTCATTTGAGAGAGCATGATTCGCATTAAAAGACACATAACAATGTTAAAATAAACGCTTGTATTTCTCGAGATTCTTGTCGTTCATCACATTTCAGAGCTTCTATCCTTCCGCTGAACGGCGCCCGACGCCGACGTCGTTTCTGTCTTCTCATTGACTATATAGCAGCGTAATATACATATTATACATTGAGATCATACTTTTAGTCTTTTATATAAAAGCGATATATATGTACGTTAATTAATTTAACTTATTATTTAATTTGTTAAATTAGTTAAAGGGAATATAATATATATGTATACACATATACATTTGAACTTGAGATCTCATCTCGAATTTCTAATCTATGTCAATATTATAATTAATATCTTAAGCTATCTAGCGTTCGTAACTTTTTAATAGTTGGAGCAAAAAAAATTACTTTTGAAAACAAAAAATAGCACAAAAGTAGCATAAATAATGTTGGTTTTATTAATCTTTCGCTTTGACTTATATGCATATATGCTGTTTTTTACAATAGATATAGCTTATCTTAAGCTATCTAGCCCTTCGTAATTTTTTAATAATTGGAGCAAAAAAATTACTTTTAAAAGTAGTAAAAAATAGTAAAAAATAGTAAAAAATATAGCAAATAATTTTGATATTAATCTTTCGCTTTGACTTATGCATGGAATTGTTTAATTATTTTCTAGATTTCTATTGTGTTTTTTAAGGAAAACGGAATAAATACAATCGGAATTTCGGAATCAATTCCGAAAAGTTTCACAATACGTGCTCAGCAATAGAAAACTTTCCATGCATGGAATTTGTAAACCAGATTCGATATTCATAACTCCAGCCAATCAAAGTCCATTAACGATCACGTGACGATTTCGGAGTTGGTGTCGTTGGTGAGCTTTTAGAGAATTTTATTGATTGGTCCATACACATGTGCATAAGGAAATAAGCGGGGAGCACACACTTCTGCACAACGCATATTGCGTAAGCATAAGAAAATTGATTGGTCCATACACATGTGCATAAGGAAATAGACAAATCAATTTTCTTATGCTTACGCATTATGCGTTGTGCAAAAGTGTGTGCTCCCCGCTTTAAGGTCAATCCAGACAAACTTGCATAGCGCATAAACATATAAGCATAAGAGAATTAATTGGTCCATATGCATGTGCATAAGGAAATAGACCATGCCGTTTCTTTATGCATATGGTTATGCACCTTTGTTATGCAAGTTTGTCTGGATATACCTTTAATGCTAGGTCTACAATGCAAGTCGTAAAGTCATGAGTCTTTTCTGAGATATTTTAAAACATTGCGGCTACATAAAAAAAAAGATTTAATTCATCCCAACAATATTAAAATAATTCAATTTTCATGTAAAATTTTATATATTTCATATTTTATATATTATCCAAATACGTTAAATTGTCATATGTTATATCTTTACTAATTGATCAAAGCTAAATTTTCTCGCTAATAATTTTTTTTAACTATTACTAAAAACTTGTTAAAACAGAGCTTAATATAATAATTATTATATTATTTTTCTAATAATATATGAGACAATAATATATCTTATTTTAATAGTAAACGAGCAGAATCTTGCTGCCTGTTCTCTTTTCTCACTGATAGCAGAAAGTAATTAATCAGAATTAGCTCCAATCGATTGAACTTTTGCATGCGGTATCTTGGCGGCATTTCAAAAAGGCGCAACCATAAACAAGTTGCAAAAGATAAACGACACTAGATGGGAATTACGGAAAGCTACGTGAAAAGCCCTTATCGATGCATCCTGACCGGCAGATTCTGTCAGAGCATCCTCGTGGCTTTGAGCGATGAGTAAAAAAGAAAGTAGATGCCCGAGTCTAGCCCGAGTTCTTTCTTCGTGAGACCATCCAGACGGCAGTAATGTGAAACGTGGATGGCGGAAAGAAATTTAGATCGCAGACGAGGAGCCGAAGAACGATCGCCGGCGCTCAGAAGCAAGTCTGTTAGATCGCTTACCTTCGATAATGATGAGACAGAATTTCCAATGTACTTCGATGCCAATATGTATATATGACGATCTTCCGTTACTTAAATCACTTGATTTGAAAAAGAAAAAAAAATTAAATTAGAAAAAGTAACAGTAAGTATTTTTACAAATTACATTTTTTATCGCCATTTTTCGAATTAGCGTTCTTAATTATCATTAACTAACGATTAGAATTATATAAAAAGTTTTAGATAATCGGTCAGTCGCTGATATTTATAATATCTAATTTTAAATGGACGGCCTTTTTTTTAATGGATCAATAACTCTTTTCTATATTTCAAAATCCAGCATATTCTATTGTATATACATATATATCATAGTAAGATTGTATATTTTGAGGAAGCATCTACGGAACGCGTAATGCAGAAAATTTGTTTCTGTCGCGCTACGTCAATTTTTCGCCGAGTTATAGCGTTTCGAAAATCCGGAGCGTGCGCACAATTATTAAAGAAAGCAGCGTATAAGTGTGTTGTTTATGTGGGACGTACGCTATCACCTTACTACACTCAGATGATCAGCTGATCAGCTGATCAGCTGATTGATACTAGTCATCTGTCACCATGCTTTTGACATAAACAAAGCAGATAAAATGTGTGGGCTGGTCTAGATCGAGATCACGGATCAATGTAATCGTCGATGTTTTCGCGCAAAAAAAATCACAGGAAAATCTATTAGACTCTGTTTGACAGTTGAAAGTCTGATAATGAGCCCAATATCATTTATTTCAAATGACTCTTGCGAGATATCGTTAATTGCAAAGTAAAGATGAGTTCATCTCTTTAAGCACAAATCATTAATATATTCAAATTATAATACGTTGGATCAGATAAATTGTAGTTCAGAAATTATAATGAAAACTACACATTTTGTCACAAGTATTAATCGTCTTCTTTTATTGAAAAATAGGATTTAAAAATGTTTAATTTTCTCGCAAACTGCAAATTAAATTTAAATAATTGTAATAAGTTAATCTAATGAATTCTCAAAGCTGATTTCAGCTGATTTCTTCGGCAGAAATGCAAACCTCAAAGTCTAGCTCGAGTCTCTCCCAGAGAGACACTCAAGAGTGAAGCGTTTTCGGAATGGAAAGTAAAGTGTACAGAAGACTCTCGAGACAAAATTACAAGAGAGAAGAGAATACAAAGACAGAAGAGAAAAACAGGAAAAAAACAAGAAAGCATCCGTCAAACACAGCGCGTGGTGACAAAGAGAACGCATCAGAACGATAAAAGAAGAAAAGGCGCTAGTAAAGTAATGGCGAGACGGTTCAGGATCGAAGAAGAAATGAGAACGGTGTGAAAAAGGTGCGAAAAACGAAAGAAGGGAAAGAAAGAGAGAAAGAGGGATAGATAAAGGGAGACGTTAGGCCGCATAAGGACGGCCAAAAGGATTTGGCGTGCTGCCAGAACCGGTCAATCGACAGTAGATAACCTCCAGACTCATCCCGCGCGACGAGAATTCTGCGAGTAAAAAGCTTACGCCGCGGAAGAAAAGAGAACGAGGGAAAACGATATCAAAGGGAAGCCAGCTCGCAAGTCACGCTGGGCTTCAGCCTCAATACGTCTCATGCTGACTTCTGGGCAGCTGCATTAATATCAGGCAAAGAACGATCTGGCCAGGCTTTGCGATAATTTCGCGAAATTTTCCGAAATCTATACCACTAACGATATTATGCAACGTTGTCATTACAATTGAATGTCATAAAATGGAAAAGATTTGTAAGTGGCAAAAAAAAATTTGAGGAACAAAATTTAAACGAGTTAAAGCGAGGAAGTCACTTTCTTAAAAGTTTATATATCCTAAGAGGGACTATTTGTTTTTTAATAATAATTATTGATTTTTCTATAAACTCAAAAAATTATGTATCGCAGGCACGTGTAAATACTACAAAATAATTATAAGAAATAACGTGCCAGCAACGCGCCACGAAAATGTTCCAAAATCTGCAAAATTAATATGAAACCTAAAATGTGTCGAATTAAATTCCCTCGCAATATTCATTCCGCGAAAGAAAGAGAGAGCGAACTCTTTTCCTACCTTAATATAATACCCGCACGAATTTTCAACGAAGATAGAGAGAAGGCTTTTTGAAGTAGTAAAGATGTCGAACGTAGTCAAAGATTGAATTTTCGACCGGGGCTACACACAAGAAAGATATTCCCCTTGGAGCTTCAGTACGTCAGATAAGTAAGTGGATAAATTTCTACCGAGGGCCACAGAAGCAAGACCGACGAAAGAAAAGTTCGACAAGATGGAACCCGAGGAAGCCGGTATAACCAACTGTAGGAACGAAGACGTAAGATTGCAATTTGCACCCTATTAACCCTTTGATCCCTCCGAGTTTTTCAAGTAATTTTTTTTTTTACGTTCTTATCCTTGCAGTAGACAATGATAATATCATATTTAATAAGATAATATCACATAATTAAATATTCTTTGGCATAAAAAGATTTATTTAACATTTTATGTAAATTTAACGTGAGACGCACGTTGAAAGATCTGATCGACAATAAATGTCGCGGAAAGCTAAAAATTATGAGAAGTTTGTAATTCATGCTGAATGAGAAAATTTTCACCGCTCGTACAGTGAAGAAAAAGAACCTGTTCGCCGCCGCGAAGATATCACGAGAAAAAAAAATACGAGGTGTAATCTAGCGTAACCGGAGCGAGAACGTAAGAGAGGGAAGAATATAAAAAAAAAGAATAGAGCTCTTGAATCTGAAATGTCTAAAACGTTGAAACATAAGACCGGAACGACGGCAAACGGTCAAAGATCGAACTTTCGAACCTTTCTGGGGTGACGACAAACGGATGAAAGAGAGATAGAAAAAAAAAGAGAGACAGCGGGGTCGATGGAGGAAAAAAAAAGAAAAAGGAGGAAAAGACGGCTGGAAATC